TAAGATCAGCATTTTAATTTAATTTTAAATGAAGCTTCTTAAATATTTTGAAAACCTTGTTTACTTTACATACAACAATAGTTTAGTTATATAATATATAGACTTAGAGAGAGACCTTCTAAAAAACGTTAATGTATTACCGGCACACGAAACCTTAAAGTAAATAAATGAAGACTCGGCACACCACTTCTGAAAGGTTGCCTACCCCTGATCTAGACCATGCCTGACAGGTGTTTAACCTGCTCTTAAAAATCTCCAATTTATAGAAGGATCTCGATCTCTCTCTCTCTCTCTCTGACTTCATATAGACAGTGAGGCAAACTGAGTAGTGATTTTTAAACAGTAGTGCAAATTGCTTGTGGTTGCAAATTGGTCAGTAAGCAAATATGAAAAACTTGAACTGTTGACTGATTAGAAAGTCAACTGTAGTAGGAAAAAAAACTATTAGGAAGAAAAATAAAGTGTGTGAATTAAGGTGCATTATTTTACACCTGCCTTATAGTTGATGTTCCTGCTTTGTTTCTTGCACATACAAAAGTACAATTTATGGTCTATGTTAAATCTTAATTTTTCCCCCTTTCTAGTGTTTCACTATATAATGTTGCATTAACATCACTTTCACAGTTAAAGTAGCTTAATTCTGAATTCTGAAAACTAAGTTTTGCAAATGTACTTGAACTTTGAATGACATTTTTCTTTAAGTTGATGTGCATATTTTAAGAGTAATAACCAAAGGTTGTTCATTTGACTGTTGTTATAGTTCCATCAGGAAGTAGAGAAAAACATTTTTATTTTAGTATGTTTGGCTCAGGTTGAATAGTAGTTTTGATAAGGGCATTTCTGTAAAACCTGGTAACTACCAGAACACTGCAGCAACTATAATTCTGTATCTTATACATTTTTCACTTTTAGCTTACTGTCCCCTCTAATTGCTGAGTATGATAAACATCTGGAGGAAATGAGTGAACAGCTGCAGTACTATCAGGTATGAATCATACCACTGGAAAGGTTTGATTGTATTTATTAAAAGAAAAAAAACATGCAATTAAATGTAAATTTGTCATCTCTCTATATTCATTTAAAAAACTAGGAAATAAAATTTTAAGTACCAATATTAAGAGGAACTAAGTCAATACAAGGTGGGACTGTAAAGCTTGAAAATGAAGTGTTTGCTTCAATATTAAACACCAACGTTCTTATAATCTAAAAATAATTTAGACCAGAAACTAGTTTATAGCTTTGGACATATTGTGCCCAAATTACAACCTTCTAGAATTACATTAATTTTAAGAGCACAGTGGCTGCCATCAGTAGTAATATTTCAGTCCTCTAGTACTAATAGCTTACTGCACTATTTTCCGGCGAAGGAAATTGTTTTGTACTACCTTTTGAAGTTTTATTAGGATACTCCCCTTTTTGAAGGGAGAGGTGGATCTTTTATGAAAAGAAATTGAATATGCCCAACCTGCCCAATATGTTGTCTATGATCTTGGAAATAGCATTGAGAGACTAAATATGCCCATCGACATATTCCTAACGTGGCAGCAGGGACGAGTGGCAAGAATCCTATTTTGTGAAATATTTATTAGCTTGTGTTCTTTAACTGAGTTCATTACCCAGGAACACCTAAACTCTTAAAAACCAAATTTAGTGATGACTTTGCTACTGCTGTGTGTAACTATTCACTTGTAATGCTATAAAATGTTTGTGTAACATTTATGCAAGATTTTTATTGCATTATAAAACTTGTACACCTACCTCGATATAACGCTGTCCTCGGGAGCCAAAAAAATCTTACTGAGTTATAGGTGAAACCATGTTATATTGAACTTGCTTTGATCCTCCAGAGTGCGCAGCCCTGCCCCCCCAGAGCACTGCTTTACCACGTTATATCCAAATTGGCGTTATATCGAGGTAGCGGTGTATATGATCTACCAGTTAATTCTCTTGCAAAAATAAAAATCATTTTACACAATTGTCCATCTTTAAACATAGCTAGTCAGAAATAAAAAATAAATTTTTGAAAGTTAAAGGAATGGTATTTCAGTGTGTGACTTTACTGCTTAAAGGCCCTGTGATTTAAATGTGAAATTTCACTGTCAAATTTTACTTTCTCAGACACAGATGGGTGAGATGAGACTAAAACTTCAACAAGTCACCAAGGAAAATGAAAGGTAAATTAATTGACTGACATGTTAAACACTTTACATTTCTAAAAATTAAAAGTATTTCTAGGGACCCGGAGATAAACCTCTGAATATATGTACTGTGGCCAAAATTTTTATACTTGCGCATTTAAACTTAACCTCTTAGGTGTTGAAATATGTGTTGAGGCACCCAGGTTTGGAAATTTGAGCTATGTATATACATAACAAACAAGGAATAATACAAATTTGATTGTTTAGAAGTCAGTGTATACATTTCTTTTGTGTATTGGTCAAGGTGTGTATTTTCAACTGTGCATTTTTTTAATATGTATATGTTAAAGGACTTGTGATGTTGGTAATTAAGGAGAATGGACTCCAGACTTGCTTGTCTTTCTCCTGCTTCTTTTAATAGCAGGTTGTCTCTTCCTGGATTCTGCTTCCAATGTATGCTGGCTTCTGGGATTCTACATTTGTTCCTATCTTCACCTTTTGATACTAATTTTTACACTATTAATGTTCCCAAAAATACAGATTACAGGCGCAGTCTTGCAAATACAACAGTGTAGTATTTGCTCTCCATTAAAGTCAATGAGCGTACTCATGAAACTAAGAGCTATACACAGCATTATGTACCTTAATTTTCACTGTTTATCCTCTTATTTTTGACTTTGTGCTCCAACACTAGGTTAATTTGGACCCACAAATCTGCCATCTGCTAGTATCTCTAACATCACCCACGTTCTTGTGGTGTCTCACCACGTGAATGAGGGGGAAATCTACCGTGGGCACAGATTCTGAATCATGACCAGGTCCAGGTTGAACCTTCAGTCTCACTGCATATGGTGCCTTCCCTGCCCCCAGCTCTGTTACCAAACCTATCTTTTGCTGCTGAGAGGTTGAAATAGAGCAGGGGTCGGCAACCTCTGGCACGCGGCTCGCCAGGGTAAGCACCCTGGCGGGCCGGGCCAGTTTGTTTACCTGCCGCGTCGGCAGGTTCGGCCGATCGCGGCTTCCACGGGCCGCGGTTCGCCATCCCAGGCCAATGGGGGCTGCGGGCAGCAGCGCGGGCAAGGGATGTGCTGGCAGCGGCTTCCCGCCACCCCCATTGGCCTGGGATGGGGGACCGCGGCCTGTGGGAGCCGCGATCCGCCGAACCTTCTGACACGGCAGGTAAACAAACTGGCCCGGCCCGCCAGGGTGCTTACCCTGGCGAGCCGCGTTCCAGAGGTTGCCGACCCCTGAAATAGAGTGAGTTCACTTCAGAGCTCTATTAAAGCCTTTCTTGGTTAGTCAGCAGTTGTAGTCAGTGAGCCATATTAACTAAATGTAAGTGGGTGACATCAAATTCAACCAAGATGCTTAAATCAGAAAATTAAGCAATTCAGTGCTCATATTAAGAGAAATATTGGTGTTGAGAAAAATGCTTAGCTGGCATCCTAACTGGACCCTGTCATGTCCATTTTATTAATACCTTTGTAATTACAGTAAATGTAGGATGTACTTTTCAAGAGTGATATGCTTTACATAAAAATACATGTTCAGTTCATTTCTTTTGGAGGACATAACATACACGGATGTATTCAGCTTTCAACTTATGTTAGTGTGCAAGTATCTTTTGATAGCTGGTAATTGCTAATAAACTAATAAGACTGAAAATCAGAGATGATAGACCAGCAGAAACTGTTCGTGGTGATCTAAGAAAATCACTGTGGTGTATGCTTTCTCAATGATCATTGCGGTGCTGTAAAGTAATTCAGTTTAGTTCACATGATGTCTTATTGCATAAATATAAACTATTTTCAGTGTGACAGGTGTGCAGGGAGAGAGAGAATCAAGCATGTAGTTTATTACGTGACAGATTTTCTCCACTTCAGTTGTAGAATTTACATTTGTTTTCCCAGGTATGCATATTATATGCAAATCGTTATTTTGTTGACTATCAGATATTAAAACATATCTGGTCTTCAAAATATAGTATTACTCTAAATGGTGACATTCTTATCAGCTATGAAGGAACTCTGAGATCTGAGAGAGCAAAGAGACAAGGAAATCCAAGAGGTGGCTTGGGCGGAGCAGGAGAGGGCCAGTGCAAATTGAAACAAATGAATAATTAAGCTATTTACACAAGCCCCTGCTTGACTTAGCATGTAGCAGTCACTATGACATTTCTGCTGATTTTGGTGTAAAAACTGTATTTACTATGTGAAGTAGTAATATGTTTTGCTGAGAAGTGGTTATATTTAATGTATATGCATACATAGAGTTGAAAGGCAAGTCAACTTGTAATATAGTTAAGTATTCTCAGATACTGCAACTGGCACTGGGACTCCTTGCCAATTTTTGTGGTTTAAAAAAAAAAAAAAACAAAAAAAAAACGACTAAGTATGTTACTCTTCTGTTGCTGAGTGAGAGGCCCACATATAGAAGAGGAGTAGACTAAAATATGCAGGGGAAACTGTTTAACTGTAAATTTTCAGGTTTTTTAATTTTGTGTATATGTAGATCTTTTTCTGTAACCTTTGTTATACTAATCTTGGGCATGGCGTGTAACAGTAAATACAAGTGAAATATAAGTGGGATTTGAGTTGATTGTGTCCCTGTATGTCTTAATTCTTCAAAAGAGAGGAGCAGGGTTACTTATGGTTATCAGAGTAACATTGGAAACCTACCCTTTGTAAGTGAGCAGTACAATAAAGATACTGTGTAACTGAAATCTATTCTTATAAAGTATTTATACTATTTATTTCATGAAGTTTTTTCCTCTCTGTATAGTCAGACAACTGCCATTAATGACAATAGGAATTATGCTAATGAATTAATAATCATTTAGCACTTCTCATTATCAAAATGCTTTTCATACAGAAAAGAATAGTCTAAAACTTTTGGTTAATTTTAAAGCATTTGCAGAAATATTCAGGTATTAGGATTCTTTAACAGGGCTTGAAAAAATAAATAAATTCAGAAATGCTAAATGATTAACTGCCTCAATGGGGGTGGCCCAGCACTAATTTATTTCTGGTGGGGAGCAGCATTAATTGGAGGCCCGGAGTACAACCCGCTGTAATCTGCAGTCTTTAAACCAAACAATGAGGAATTCCCAAACTAAGATTGAATGGGTCTGATTCAGGGCACCTGTGTATTTGAATAGGCTGTCTTTCAGCAAACAGATTTGGATAAACTTTAAGGCCTGTTAATTGATTTGACAGACACTTCTTAAGATACATTTTATACGTATGCAGTTGGATGTCTATCATTCCAGTCTCTCTGGGGTGAAGAGGGGATTACAAATATAAGGCCGAATCCTGCTGCTTTTAATAATCCTAATAGACATGAATAAGGTCTGTGGTATCTCTTTTACTATACAGTTGGTCAGGAGTTTATGTAGCACTAACATATCTTTCATCAGTTGATTTACCAACTCCAATAGACATGGTAGTGTGCAAAATATAGTATTGTAGTACAGGGAGGCCTAGAATGGGCTAGCTGCCCCAAGTACAAACCTGCCCAGACCCTGTGGGTATGTACATGTGGCAGCTAGCCCATGCTTCTGCTGCCCATATGACCGTGGCTACATTACTACTTTTTGCATGCTTGATTTACCTCCCTCTCCATAGATGCAGATGGGGGTGCACATTTGTATCCTTCTGCATCAGCTGCTGCACACTACATGGCATTCATTTTCTGGTGGGGGCAGATACTGTTAGTCATTGTCCTCCCCGAACTGTTCCATCAATGGAGGACAGCCTTATGTCACACACAGTGATCCACAGCAGTCTGGCAAATCATTGCATCCCCAAACACCCCAGCCATGGTACCTTTCCTATCCTTATCTACCTGGCCAATGCTACCCACTTTTGGGGCTTTGGTGGCAAAGGCCATCAGGCAAAGCAGGGTTTGTAGATGCCTTGTGCAACTTCAGTTCCCGTCAAAGCAGGCAGGTACAGCATCAGGCCAGATGTTTTCAAGCAGTTTGTACAAACAACTAGTTCTCACAATACTTCTTTGAGACAGGCTTTATCATCCCCATTTTATGGATGGTTTCAGAGTAGCAGCCGTGTTAGTCTGTATCCGCAAAAAGAACAGGAGTACTTGTGGCACCTTAGAGACTAACACATTTATTAGAGCATAAGCTTTCGTGGGCTACAACCCACTTCTTTTATGGATGGAGCATCTGTGATGAAGATTACTTACCTAAGGCCTTACAACAAATTAGATGTGAGGTGGAACTAGAATTGAAGTGTGTGGTTCCCACACAGTGCAAGCAATTTTGTACTGAGGGTGGCCAGCCCCTGCTGCTGCTGGCTGTGCTACTGCAGCTATGCTTATATTTTCATCGTGCTAGCTTGATGAGAGCTAGCTTGAGTATGGCTGTTCAAGATGGGAATCACAGTGCTAGCTCCAAGTATCGGTGTAGCCTAAATGAGTCTCTTTCTGAGAGTTGGCTTTTCCTCAATAAGGTCTTAGAATCATAGAATATAAGGGCTGGAAGAGACCTCAGGAGGTCATCTAGTCCAATTCCCTGCTCAAAGCAGGACCAACACCAACTAAGTCATCCCAGCCAGGGCTTTCTCAAGCTGGGCCTTAAAAACCTCCAAGGATGGAGAGTCCACCACCTCCCTAGGTAACCCATTCCAGTGCTTCACCACCCTCCTAGTGAAATAGTGTTTCCTAATATCCAACCTAGACCTCCCCTACTGCAACTTGAGACCATTGCTTCTTGTGCTGTCATCTGCCACCACTGAGAACAGCCTAGCTCCATCCTCTGTGGAACCCCCCCTTCAGGTAGTTGAAGGCTGCTATCAAATCCCCCCTCACGCTTCTCTTCTGCAGATTAAATAACCCCAGTTCCCTCAGCCTCTCCTCGTAAGTCATGTGCCCCAGCCCCCTAATCATTTTCATTACCCTCCACTGGACTCTCTCCAATTTGTCCACATCCCTTCTGTAGTGGGGGGACCAAAACTGGATTCAGTACTCCAGGTGTGGCCTCACCAGTGCTGAATAGAGGGAAATAATCACTTCCCTCGATCTGCTGGCAATGCTCCTACTCATACAGTCCAATATGCCATTGGCCTTCTTGGCAATGAGGGCACACTGCTGACTCATATCCAGCTTCTCGTCCGCTGTAATCACCAGGTCCTTTTCTGCAGAACTGCTGCTTAGCCAGTTGGTCCCCAGCCTGTAGCAGTGCATGGGATTCTTCCTTCCTAAGTGTAGGACTCTGCACTTGTCCTTGCTGAACCTCATCAGATTTCTTTTGGCCCAATCCAATTTGTCTAGATCACTAGGTCACTTCTCTCAAACATACCTACACTTACACCAATACACAAACTAATCAATCAATTTCTCTTACAGGCAAGCAAGGAAGGAGGATTTATTTTATTTTTAAATGCTTGTGATAGGGTCATGTTAAATGCATAGTGTAGTGAGGGGACTACTACCTCAATTCTTGGCAGTTACAAGGGCTGCCACTCTGAGACAGAGTGGGACAATTTACGTGAGGGAGATTATCTAGTAGGAAAAGCCACCACAAGATAATGCTCCAAAACGCTGCCTTAGCATTTGGAAAAAAGCAAGAGTCAAAAATGTTGTAATTTTAGAAGTTTGATCAATTTTATATGAAATTGATCAATGATTTTGGTCATTCTGTAACTTCCAAACTTTAGTTTAAAAATAAAGTTGCTAGTGGTCTCAACTGCAGTCACTCTGGTACCTTGCACGGTCACTCAGTAATCTTTGGAGATTAGAAATCCATGTTCATTTCAATGGCAAGCTCAAAGATCTACCTCTAGCCTTGCAGTGCTCCACTCTTCTCCATTGGATAACAATTTATATTTAAGCATATGCTATGATTTAAAAGCACATCCATCTTGCTTTCACAGAGAGCAATTCTGATCTCTTGACTAAATATACAATTACTGCAAAAATTATGTTTACTGAAGGTATGAAAGCCTTTGAGTTTTTCCCCCTGATGTTTGTTTTAGGCATAAATAATCAAAGCATAAATTGTAACTCTCCTAGAAAAACACCTGAAACCTTGAGTTTAATTTAGTTCTTGTTTTTCCCCCCCAGTCTTTGGCTAACTTAGAAGTAAGTGTCTCTACATGCATGCACTTCCATGGATGATGGATAAGAGGCAACAAATATGTGCTAGTATTCATAAGGAAGGGAGTTAAAACGGAGACTCAGATTAGATCCATAATACCACTGTTTTTCTACAATGTTAGTCTCAATGACAGGCAAAAATTTATAAAAACTGGCGTATATGCACAACAAAAATGCTTGCAAAGCTGAACTTCTGGATGAACTAACCTTAGGACTTCTGTAGATGGGTCTTTAGTTTGCACCAGAGAGGTGTAAGATTTAGTCCACACTCCACACTAGCATGTCATTCACTGACTGGCCTGTGTGGACGTGCTGTTGTGCACTAAGAATTCCCTAGGGCACATTAATGTAGGCCCATTTCAAACATTATGTCAATACGTATTAGGGAATTTTTAGTGCACACCATCAGGGTGCACATGGACTAGTTAGTCACAACTAAAAATTTATATTCCTCTGGCATGGACTAATGCACCATGTAGACAAGTCTTTAGTATGTAATGAGTTTCTTCTGGAGAGGAAAGCAAGGGTCTTGTAAGAATCTGTTACCTCTTTGAGAAGATTAAACAATTTTACGATTTCTAACATAATTTATAGTGATTCATGTATTTTAAATTAGTCTTAATTTTATAATACACAAACATTAATTCAAAATATCAATTACATTTAGAAGGTGCACTGTAAATATAACTTGTTTTAAAGATTTAGTTTTAATGAATTTTACATTCATTGTACTTAGGCTACTCCAAATGTTTTAAAAAAAATATTGTTGCAAAAGCAATGGTTTACTGTATTTGTGTCACAGACTGCATGAGGAATTGAAAGAAGCTGTTGAGAAGCAGCTGGAGGCCCTTCCTTCTGGCACTCTCTTGGGGAGTGATGTGTTTGCAGATGAAGAAATAGTAAGAAACCTTCAAGATCAGTTACAACTAGCCAATCAAGTGAGTGATTTTAAAACACAGCTGCTACTTTATTTCTTTGGCTAATTCCTTTGCACATTGGGGAAAACATCTTCATCAGTTGTAAGGAATCACTCTTCAGAACCATCTTTTTTGGATTAGAAATATGAAAAGTACTCTTTACTGATTTTATTATTATTATTTTTATTTTTTTGGTAACCTACAAACACTGATACTTTTGATTACCAGTCTGAAAGAATTTGGAGTTTTGCACTCAGAGTTCGTGTTTTGTACTAATACTTAATTACTATATTGATTTCTCCCCCCCCCCCAATTCCCGACTAGAGAAAGGAAATAGCGATGAGGCAGGATGGTAAAGCCTTTTTACATCCATTGAGAATACATATTGAAATTTTCACCAATCATTTTTGGTGAACACTGGTCAAAAAGATAGTAAATGTGAAATGAGAAACAATTTTGCATTGTTTGTTTGGAAGGTAGAAAATCAGAATCTAAAGCTAGAAAAGGCTAGATTCTCTAATCTAAGATCATTACTATAACAGGCTGATGTCCTATCTCTTGTACACAAAGACCAAATTCTGCTGTTGCACAGGTGCAGCTCCTGTAATTTCACTGGGTGCTGATCCATGTAATTGAGAGCTTATTTTAGCTATTTGAATCAAATAGGCTGGTATGTTGAATCAGAGTCTCAGAACTCTCAGTCGAAGCCACGTGTCGCTTCTAATTTAAACTTCTGAAAAGAGCTACTCTTTTTAAAAGAAAAAAAAAAAAGCAGAACCTATTAATCTGTTCAGATCTTTAACATGACAGGGTCATGCTAAGTCACACTTTCTTGAAACATTTTCACTTCTCTAAAGTTGGTATTTTGTGAATAAAGTCACAAAATGGGACTTCTGGTTTCAGTAGTAGAACAGTGAATTGTCATTGAATTCATCCATTTAAACAAACAAACCCCATCTTGAGTTTGCTTTTTGGAGACTGGGAAGGAAGAGAAAACTGCATCAGGAGTCCTTCGATGAGATCCATAAAAGTATCTAGAGAAATAAAATTCTGACTTCCCTATGAAAACTACATCCCTACCAATACCAGCCATAGCATAGTATAGCTGTGGGGATGCTTTGAAAAGCAGTGTGTCTCCTACGTTTATTCAGTAAAAGAGATATCTAGTAGTCACTGTATCTTGACGATGGTGAAAGAAGAGAAACAGGAAGTCATTCACAATAATTATATTAAGTTTCTTTAATATAAAGGAAAAGTTCCCTGTTTTTAAAGTGTTGTACACTAAGCTAAACACATTCTGGTAAGAGAATCTTCTATATAATCTTTCTTGTTTTTAAACCTTCTAGGAAAAAGAGCAAGCACTAGAGCTCTGGCAGACAGTATCACAGGAACTAGATCAACTCCAGCAGCAGTACCAGGGGCACATGACTGAAGCACAGATTCATGTGGTAGAAAGGCAAAAGCAAAAAGTAATTTTGATTGTATTGTTTCTTTTGGCAAGTCATTGTAATCTGGAGAAATTCCAGAGCTGTAAGTAAGGCAAATTTAAAATGTTGTATATCACTACTTAGCTATCTGACACCAAATATATTATAACAATCATCTAAATATTATTTAATGGTCAGAGGCAATTGTAGATTTCAGGTGCCACTCTTTTTGTTCTAATCCATATTGTACAGGTAAGCTATATTTCATGTGTCCATTGACAATCAGATGGGGCATGCATATTGCAGTAGGGGTGTGTGTGTGTGTGTATATAAAGAACTACAATGAGCTAGAGCAAGAATCAGTCATGTGGTTCTTCAACACCCTTCAAAAATAAGTTCATATTTTTTAAAAGGTTCAGTTCATACCTCTGGCTGCACTGTTTAATTAGTGGTCTGTGGGCTAAATCGCAGCAGGGTGTTATATGTAGCTACCTGCTAGAAAATCCAAACTCAGCAAAGTGAATATGGAGTAGTAGGCATTGTTCATTTTTTCCCCACATAACCTGTGAAAAAGCTGTTCTGCAGGTCCGTTGTGACAAGAGTTGTATAGAGGGTGTTCTGGAGTCAGGGGAGTGGTCCAAACGTTTATGCATGTTTGCATCCTGCTAGGCTTGTACCCATTTAGGAGGGAGGCATTATGTGACTGCTTAGAAATTGACCCTAAGGTTTTAGACCCTTTTTTCAGTAGTAAATCTGTGATGTACCCAAAGATTTACCAGGTCAAATCCCACTAATAATCTAATTAAAATCTAAAAAATTAAAGTAACATTGACTGCATAAAACATAACATATCTAATTTGTTGAAATTGCTTTCAGTTGAACTTAAAATGCCTTTAGGATAATTACAAGCCCTTTATAATGATGATGATTACAAGCTCTGTATTTCCTATTTTAGGATCAGTTGGCTGGCTTTCAACAACTGACTGAGCAACTTCGATTAGCCAATGAGAAAACAGAGTTGGTAAGTGATTCCATCTGGACAATGCATTCATATTTTAAAAATATTAAATGGTTAGTTTATATTCTGGGGGGTATCAGGGTACTGTACTTACCACAGGTGGCACCTACTCCTGGCTGTTCTGGGGATTAGCTCTCTTGTGGGTCTGATGTCTCCCCTTGTGGTCTGCCTCCTCCACATTGTCCTTTCTCTCACTCTGCAGCCCCTCTCTCCCTCTGACAACTGCAGTTTTCTCTTCATGACTCAGCTCTCCAGCCAGGTCACTGTGTGGTTTCCCCTTCTGGGGTATAGAGGCTCACTGGACCTGCTGTCCAGGCAATGCCAATGCATAAGTGGCTGGTAGGGGAATCCAGGCTCACCCACTACTCCAGGCTTCCAGCCCAGAGACCCTACAACATGCAGCAATGGTCTGTTCAGTCTCCAACCTGGCTGTTCCCTACCCAGCTCTCACAGGCTTTCTTCTCTACCCTTCTCTCATCTGAGTATGCCCTTCCATAAGGGGTCTACTCTTTCCCTTGGTTCTCTCCTTTCCTCTCTAATGCACAGAGAATGGCTATAGACTTCTTTACTGCAGCCATTTTTGATACCAGCTTCTGGGCTTTATACTAGCCCAGCCCACACCTGCTCACCTGAGCTTCATCTTCTAATGAGGGGTTGCTTCTCCAGCCTAATGCCCTCATGTGCGGCCTGTCACTCTAATTGGCCCTTTCTCAGCTTCATTAACCCTTTCAGGATTAGTGTGTCATGAACGTCCCATCACAGGGGATCGCCAATAAAGGAAAACATAGAGACACCAGACATTACATGTCTAGTAACATGACACATAACATGCTGTCCTTGGATAATGTCATATAATTTACAAGCAATTGGACCTTATCATAAATTGTCCTAATTGGTGTTTTTTACTCTTGAAGAATACCTTACTGTATAAACTAGGTTGTGTTACTCCCTTCCCCAGTAACTAATCTAGCAAGTAGCCCACCCCAGAAAGCCTTACACATGAAATTGTCTTCTTCTTTCCTTCCTTCCCTCCTGTATCTACCTTATGAAAAGAGCATAGGACTTGTCCTATGTATAATATGGAGCCTGTGTTATCCATGTTCTTCTCTTTTCTAAACTTCAGAGTTTGTTTAATACAGATGGAAATGTTCAAAAAACAGATTTAATCCTATTTCTAGAGTTAGCTAAACTTTAGTTTGATTACTTCAAAATTGTTGGCCTTTGTGACTTGACCAAGACCACAGATGGAGTCTGTCAGAGCTGGGAGTTGTCCTTTATTCTCAGTCCCGTCGGCAGTACTGACTTTCGTACTGCTGACCACTCTTGGCTGCTCAGCGGAGGAGTTTTTTCAGCCACAGACAGCCAGCTGGTAGGAAGCTTGTGCTGGTCTTGTGCAGTCATCTGTAGCCTGTTCAGCACTGCCTTGTGAGAGGGTAAACTGATCTTGGAGTCCACCAAAAAATCCAGTGATCTGTGTGTCTCTTTTGGATGCCAAGAACCATCCTTGGGTGGTTGTGGGGTAAACAATAATTTGTGATCTTTAGGAGAAATTGGTGACAAGCTTTCACCCTAGTGTATAGTTTGCATTATGTTAAATTTGAGTCTTGAAAATGTGAACATCTTCTCAAGGAAAAGGCAAGAAAGTTATTTTGTTTCAAATGAAAACTAAGATTGTCCAGCACATTTTAGGTCTCCCATAATTACAGGTCATACAGGCCAGTTCTGCACCACATTTACCAGTGTTTTATAAAGTTTGTCACTGATGACATCGATGTCCTTGCCATTTACAATCAATCTTTTTAGGGTTATTTTAGGGTTATTATTGTGCTTCTGGGGCTCTGAAACCACTTTTTCCAATCTTGCATGTTGGCTTCTGCTCCAGTTAGCTTTAGGCCATGTTTTTCAAAAGTGGCTAGCAATTTTGGGTGCCACATTTGAGACACCATAAAGGGGCTTGATTTTTTTTTAAAGGATAGGTGCTCAGCACTTCCTGAAAATTAGACTTCTACATGGTCTCAGGTTGAGCACCCCAAACTTCTAGTTGGTTTGAAAATCTTGCCTTAGTGCATGGTTGAGCCGTGGCTTTCTGGTTTGTAATTTGGCCTCATGATAATCAGTGGGTTTTTCTCTTTTCCTCACTCTCCTCATTTCCCCCATTCCTTTAAGAAAAAGGTGAGATCAAAGCCCACATGTGTTGAGAATTAGAAGTAATTTCCAGGAAGGAAATACAGAGAGGAAATGGTGAGAGGCAGGCAGGGAAGAGAGAGAAACAGAAGGATGGGAAAGGAAGTGAAGTAAAAGGGAAGAAATAGCAGTGGTTGTAAAGGTGAGCATATCTTCCTACAGACTAATGTTAAACACAACAATAAGGTATGGAATAGATTATGTCTGGGGTTCCAAATGTGTAACTACCTCCCAGTGGATGGACCCTGTGCCCATGTAATGCCATATTGAGTTCTTTGGGGCTCCACATGGATTAAAATGTCAGTTTACTGGTGACAATTACAGGATCAGGGCTCGAAAGTTCAGTTACTACATAAAGGCCATATTCTATCCTAGGTGTTCGTGCAAGCCTCCTGTTGACGTCAGCGGGAGTCCTTTTGATAGTTCTTAGGGCATCCAGGACTATGAGTCACCTTGTTACCCCCCTGCTTCCAGTGAGAGGGAGACTTGCTGGTGCTTAACTGCTTGTCAGCTCCCTGACACCAACTGCCTGTTAGCTACCCATACAATCTACTCTGTGCTATGCCAGCTCTGACTTTGCCTTGCAGGATAACAATAGGTATACACAAGCTCCTTTGAAGAGTTCCCCTGTAGTGTCCAGCCTCTTAGCCACTGAACACCCACAGATATCCCAGGTTTGCTGTTCCTAAAGGACCAGTGTACACACTAGCTTGATTGATTCAACTCAGGATCAGCTCCTTGTATAGTACCCCAGCACTGAGATATATTTATAGTGAAAACAAAAAGTTTTATCATAAAAGGTTCAAGATTCAAAAGATGGGGAGAAAGGATAATGGAAATAAAAGAATTACATATAAAACAAAATCATAATGTGATTTCTAGAGACTAAATTTAACAGGCTAACCTTCTGTCTAAAGAGGTTTCTCTTACTCAAATGTCCTTTGCAGCCTTTCAACCAAGCCTGGTTGAGATCTCGTTTTCATGAATGTACTCGTACTACCTGATTATTTCCTAGGTGCAGGATAAAGAGATGTCTTCCTTTCCTTCTCCTTATATTCCCCAAAGTTCATTATATATACCTCAGAATCAGGATGACCCCTGTAGTTTATTTTCTTGCCTCCATATTGATTTCACATCCCCTGCTGAGTTGCTATGTAGATGTACAGCCATTGTGTTGGCTTACAATGCCTAATTTGTATATGAATAGGTGAATAAATATCTCTTGTGTGACAGAACCTATTTTGTCAACTCTGGCTTGATACAGACTTTAGAAACATATTTTCAGCATTCATGTGTAACTCCTAACGTAGCGGGGGAGGGATAGCACAGTGGTTTGAGCATTGGCCTGCTAAACCCAGGGTTGTGAGTATATAATTGTGAAATGTAAGGAACAAATGAAAGCCAGGGTCATACTAAGACCTCACATGAGGTCTTTGGTGAACCAAGAATGTACATACCAGGATTAGAATATTCTCATAATCCCATTGGTATTGAGAGTTTCATGGGTCATAGTTAAGGCTATGTTTTAGTCATAAGTATTTTTAGTAAAAGTCATGGACCGGTCACGGGCAGTAAATAAAAATTCACGGCCCATGACCTGTCCATGACTTGTACTATATACCACTGACTAAATCTTGGGTGCTGGGGGGAAGAGGGCAGCCCGGGGGCACTATGGGTGCTCTGGGGGGGCTCACAGCCCAGGGGTGTCGCGGGTGCTCTGGAGGGGTGGGGGTTGCGGTATGTGGCCCGGGACCCCCACCAGTGCTGGAGTGGGCAGTAACACACGGCCCAGGACCCCCGCTGCTGCGGGGGGTGGAGGGAGAGGTGCGGTGGCCTGAGACTGCCTCTGCAGCCGTCGGTGCGGCTGGCCCATGGGCTGCTGAAGCTCCTCAGGCAGCCCCGGAGCCAGCCACACCAGCTGCTGCAGAAGTCATGGAGGTCCCAGAAAGTCACGGAATCTGTGACTTCCTTGACAGACTCGCAGCCTTAGTCATCGTCCCATTCTAGACTGAGGGTGTTAGGTATACTAGTGTTTTACCTCCATCCACAGACCATAATTAAAAATGGGATTTGGCTTTTTCCACAAAATAGGTTTGATGCTTCTTTTTAAACTACACTAGTTAAATATTATAAAATGTCTGTAAACAGAAATAATCTGAAGCTTAAGTAATGTTCCTATAATGTTTTGTGATGTTCCAAATTTTTTTATATAACTTCAAATAGTTATCTAGTGAAAAATATCTTTGGTTTATATAGCAAATAGATGGCTTTCTAATTTAATCAAGCCATAATTTAAGAGAAGAGCTTAAACTGAGAGTTTGAAATTCTTTAAAGATAGTATTTTCTGTACCTCTAGTCACAGTAGTTAGTCTACCTTAACAGGATGCCTGATGAAAGAGTAAGTGCATTAATGAATAAGCCCACATAAAATAAGCAATAAATTGATTAAAGAGAATAAATGAATAAATCTGCATGCCTGCTTTCATTAGTGAACATACTAAGTGTCAGATAAAGGAGACACCATATAACAAGACTTTTCATTAAAATAGCCTTCAACAGAACAAGGAATATGTTACAACTCTTTCTTCCTTTTACAGACTAACCAACAATTTTTGAAAACCGTAACAGAACAGAATATGGAACTAGAACAGCTACGCAAACAACTAAGGTACAAATCAGAGACCCTTTTAAATATACCGTTCTATCTTATATTCCTTCTTGATACATTACTTTATCATTGGCCTTGTCTTCATTACAAAGCTGTTACTGATAATTGTTTTTAGCAATAGTTACAGTTCATCTTTGAATGTAGGTAAGAATAGATTCTGACGGAGCACGTTTTCTGCTGATTGTTGAATCCTGCACAGTGTATACAGTATACCATACTGTGTGTGTATATATAATTTTATAACATAGAAGATACTACTTCATATATTCACATAATTTACATATTAATTATATCTAGAGTTAAGCAAATCGCTGCTGTTGTCACCCCCTGCACCCATTATTACTGTGTGTGTTAAGCTTTAACATAGAGATAATCTTGGGGCTAACTTTGTACATTTAGAGTCGCATCCTCTGAGGTGCTCAATGCTCCCATTCACTTAAGGTACTGAGCTCTCTCTACTCCCATTTAGCAGATTTGAGCCCTGAGGGCCAGCCAGATATTTTTATTAGCATAGCATATTTGCACAAAACCTAGTTGTATTGGCAATAAATCACATTGCAACTTCTGGGCATCGTGAAGTGGGAGTATTCAAAATACTCTGAACAACTTTAAAGTTTTATTGTACAACTAGGATAATTCTTGTTTGCTTCATGTATGTCATATACCATAGAGAGGTAAAGAGAATTATGTTTCTTAGGTAATATGGAATATAGAAAGGGGTGAATCTTAAATTGTTCAGTTTCTTTTAGGGTCTATCTCTTGTATGAATTCTGTGCTTTGTTCTCCCCACCTCTTCCTCCTATTTTTTTTAAAGGGTGTTTTTAAGGATTTCAGGGAAATGATTAAATTTCCATGGACCACCCCACAGATTTATTTAGGCTTGTTCTATCACTGGCACTGAACAGCCTGTTTGGGGTACCATCTGAAGACATATTTATGAGTTTATCTTTTCTGGTAAGTCATAGTACTAACATTTTCTTAAGTTATTGGTTTTTTCCTCCTAACTTAAAGCTTACATTGCACAATTCTGTTAACTCTCTAGCCCTCTCAGATTATATTAATCATAGAATATCAGGGTTAGAAGGGACCTCAGGAAGTTATCTAGTCCAACCCCCTGCTCAAAGCAGGACCAATCCCCAGACAGATTTTTGCCCCAGATCCCTAAATGGCCCTCTCAAGGATTGAACTCGCAACCCTGGGTTTAGCAAGCCAATGCACAAACCACTGAGCTATCCGTCCCCCCTGTATATTGACTGGTATGGTGCTGTACATACCATAAAATGAAGGCAGTCCCTGTTAACATTTATATTTTGTATTGTGTTCATCAACAAAACTGTCTCTTTAAAGAGTTGTTCAGAAACTAAAATTATTTCAAAGTTTGTACTACAACAGTCTAAAAGCATGAAAATAATCTAAAAGAAACATTTATAAAAATGAAATGTAAACCATAAGGAAGAGATGAGCTAAACTGTCTGAAGTTGAACTGAGGTTAGGAAACTTGTAACCAAATTAATTTTGGGATATCCTGGAAAATGGATTAGCCTTGTAGACCCTCTTTTTTTGTTTGTTTGTTTGTTTGTTTGTTTGTTTTTTGTTTGGGTAGCAAAACAACTATTTTCAGGATTTTTATATGGCACGGACCTCAGAGGTTCAAAGAAGCTTTTTGTTGTTGTTGCTGGGGTAGCAAATGCAAAAATAATACAGCAGCCAATTTACTCCACATCAACAGACTGCATTACATACCGTTGACCTAAACTATTTGTCATCTATTTGTGGAGGTCAAAATCTTCTTTCCTATTACACTGTCATTACTTCCAGCAAAAATTGTTGTTAGTTGAAAATTCAATCATAATATTATTATTTATATTACTGTAGCAGCTACGGGACCTAGTCATGCACAAGGACCCCATCGTGCTGTGTGCTATACACAAACAAAACAAAAAGATGGTCCCTTCCCCAAGGAGCTTACAATCTAAGTATAAGACAAGAGATGTCTACAGATGGACAGTAGAGTACAAGGAAACGTTGAGACAGTATTAGTCAGAATGACAAGCGGTGGTCTCAGCACATCAGCAGCCTAATATGGCTAAATTTTTTTGTAGGCATCACAGTAAAGGAGAGTTTTAAGGACAATAATGAGGTAGCTTGTGGATGTTTATGGGGAGTCCTCCCAAGCATGAGAAACATGGGAGGAAGTCTGAAGGTGTGTTGAAAAATATCCTGATTCTCCTCAAGGAAGTCTCTCTTGTAAATTACAGTGAAATTGACAAGAGCCCTCCAGTCTCAGTGCCTCCCTGCCAACCCTGCCCCCCATCCAGAAGCCAAAAAGGTGCTGTCTGTACCCCCGAGCTGGAGGTGATGGTGAACAAAAGTTTTATTGAATCTATCCTAAATTCAGTGGAATCTCTGTTCTACCAAATTAGAATTTTCTTCTTTGAGTGATGGTCCCTGTTGTATTCCACTGAAGGTTATGCGCCATATGCCCAGAGCCAGAGCTTTTAGAAGTAGTAGTGCCTGTTGGTCCTCATATGCATCTTTGATCTGCCTCCTGGTTTCGACCAAGGGGATAAAGAGTGGGGTAGACCGACTGCACCCTCAGTTCCTTCTCACTGCTGTATGGTCCGAATCAGAGCTTCTGCTGTTCTCTTGTCCGTTGTGACACACTTTCAGGCTCTCTAAAAAGACTGTTTTATTCTTGTTTATAGTTAGCATTTTATTGTTTTTGTAGTAGTTTTTACGATTCGTAGTAGTTTTCTTAGGATTTAAGGACTTTCTGGTGGTACTTTGGTGGTTTTCTGCCTACCCCCTGCCTCCTGGCACCCCGGTACTGGATTATACCGAAAACACCGGGGTTCAAGATCTGTGCTTCCTTCCCTCGCTTGTTTTCAATCAGCGATGAGCACCAGTGCTGCTTGGGGGAAACCCACATCGTATCCAGGTGCAGTATCTTCCTCTCCTTCCCTGTCCATGCCTGGAAAGGCCAGGCTCTCCGCCTCAAGAAGCACCTCATAGAGGTCCCCATGAGACCGTAGTCTGATCCAGGCTGGGGAACACCCCCATAAATTGGCCTGAGCAATCAAGGAGTGCGTCTCCTACCACAGAGCTCCAGTCCGGTTCCTCCGTACCAGCACTACGGATCCAGTGCCGGGGTCTAGCTGTGAGGCTCAGAAGCATGTGCATGTGCATGAGCATGGCAGTAAGTCTTCCTCAAGACCCAAGAAAGACACTGCATCCTCCTTGAGTTTCAGCCACAGAGAAGTGGCGTGTTCCAAGGCCCACAAGCACGACAAGAAGTCACATAAAATGTTGGACCTGCCAGTCCCAGTCGCTGAGCCTCATGCCCCCTCTTCCTCACTACTGCTGAAACCATGTGAATCATCTGTTCTGAGACAGCCTTCTGCCCCCATTCCAGTTCCGGTTCTGTCTGTGGAACATGTGCTATGGACACCAGGGAGATTCAAATCAGCTCCTGGACCTTATTAACTGCCCTTGATGAGGTGAGATCCCTGCATCCTCTGCTGCATTCGCCTCCAAAGAGACTCCACTCCCCTGCTTTAGACTTGCTGCCTTCAGGTTGTGTTCCTGAGCAGTCCTCCGTGACTCCCTCAGTGGCAGTGGCTCCGCCATTTGAATGGGGATCTGAATTCTCACCTTCGGAAGATTCAGATGGTGCACATGGTCAGCTGATCCCTTAGCAATGGCAAGAGTATCCGAAGGCTCCACCAGCCCAGTGGCAATGTCCTCCCTTCCCTCAGCACAGGAGCCATTGGTACCCAGCTCCATGGGGACTGCCACAGCAACCGCCAGATCCATCTGGTTGGCCATATTGGGGATCTTGGCCCCAGTATCCACCTTTGGAACCTTCACGATCTTCCTGAGAGGAGTTTTCCCCGCCCCTCCATCTCACCACTCCAGCCTTCGACAGGTAGGCCTTCGGAACCGGGGTTGAAGGATGCACCAATCAGCCCAACTTCGATGGTACCACCAGATCTGGAGCAGTTCCCCTCCTTGTCTCCAGAGGCAGCAGTGTCCTAGAATCCTTTCTGTCCCTCCCTCCCCCCGAACTACTGCCAGTTCCAGGAACTGTTAAGGAGGGTGGTTGCCACTGAAGGAGATGCAGGACAGCCAGCATCAGCTACTGGACATTCTGCATTCATCGGTACCAGCCAATCAATGATGCCATTCTCCCTCTGGCCTGCACCATCTGGCATACCCTGGCAACTTGTGTGCCCACTGCAAAGAGGGCAGAAAAGTGATACTATGTACTGGCGAAGGGTCTGAGTTTGTTTTCTCAATGCCCCCACCCAATTTCCTGATTATTTAGGCCATTACTGAGCAGGCCAGACAGCAGCACCCACATTCCACTCCAACTGACAAGAAGGGTAAGAGACTGGACCTTTTGGGTCATAAGGTCTTTTCATCAGCCAGCCTTCAGTTTTTCATCTCTAATTACCTGGCATTACTGGTATGTATGACTTTTTGAATTATGGCCAATTAGTGGAATTTGCAGACAAGCATCCCCAGCAGGACCATGTCAGTTTCCAGGCTATTTTAGAGGAAGGCAGACTGGTTGCCAGGACTACACTCTGGGCTATGGTAGATTCCGTGGACATATCTACATGCACTATGACTGCAGAGATTGTCATGAGGAGGGAATCCTGGTTACGTTCTTCTGGTTCTTGAGGGAGATACCGAACACAATTGAGGACTTCCCTTTGATGAACCCCACCTCTTCAACCAGAAGACTGATGATTTTCTGCACTCACTCAAACTATAGAGCGACCCTGCGGTCACTGGACATTTATACACCAGCACCCAAGTTCAAATTCTGTTGGCCAGCTCCTGCTCAATGGTACCAAGCTCCTCAGTTTTTCTGCCAGCAGTCCTATGACCCTCCCCACAAGTGTCAAAAGACTCAATGGTCCCATCTGCCTGGCCCATCAGTACAGTCATTGAGACCACACATTCAGTCTTCATGCGAGCGATATTTCTGAGTGTATCTAGAGAGCTGTCAACCACATTGCAACCCCACCGTTCTTGCACCTTTGGGGGTTGTCTTGCACTCTTTCTGCCAGCCTGAAGCGTAATAACAACGAACACACAGGTCCTGGATGTCATTCAACATGGCTATACTAGCAAGTTCACAATGCTATTTCATCCCCATCCCCTGCCCCTCTGGGACCACTCGCACGATGGTATCCTCACCCTGGAGGTGGATTCCCTCTTACCATGGTCTCATCATGTCAGTCAACATCACTACAGTTTACTACATAAACAAGGAGGCATGAGGTCTCCAGCACTTTGTGCAGAAGCAGTTCACCTCTGGAAATGGTGTATCGCCTGTGGTTTTCTGTTGTCAACAACTTATCTCCTGGGGACTCAGAACATGATTACAGATATTCTCAGCAGAAATGTCATGGCCGACCACAAATGGGAATTACATGACTCTGTGGTCCCCAATGTTTTTTACCATTGGGAGACTCTGGTCAGGGATCTCTTTGCTTCTCACATCAACACCAAATGTATCCAGTACTGTTCTAGGGGTGGGCATGGAGCCCGCTCCCAAGGCAATGCCCTAGTCGTCAGCTGGTCGGATCAGTTACCACTCCTGCCCCATGTCCGTCACAAGATTCGACCGTCATTCTGATTGCCCCATTCTGGCCTCACCATTTCTGGGTTCCTCTTTTTCTCCGCATGTTGAAGCATTCTCCTTTTCTACTACCAATGTTTGTTTCTGGAACTGCTTGCTAAATACAAAGACAGGATCAGACATCCCAACCCACAGATGCTTCACCTGAGAGCCTAATTTTTGAATGGGCATCTTTGTTAACGCAGGAATGCTCATCAGCAGTGTGAGATGTCCTCTTGAGTAGCAGGAAGGAATCTACAAGGTGGTCCTACCAAGGCAAATGAAAACTCTTTGCCTTCTGGGCTCAACAGAAATGTCTTGCTCCTGAGGCTGTAGGCATTCCTGTCCTCTTGGATTGTCTGCTGTTCCTGAAGGTATCAGGATTCGCTCTCAGCACCATCAAAAGTGTACGTAGAGGCCATTAGTGCTTCCCTCACCCCCATGGAGGGGTACTCTGTTTGCTTGTCAGTTGACTGTACGATTCTGGAGGGGCCTCATGTGGATATATTCTTTTGTTCAACCCATCACTCCCCAGTGGGACCTTAACCTTGTCCTCACAACATTAAAGTTGCCCTTCAAACCTCTGGCCTCCTGCTCCCTTTCCCTTCTTTCCCTGAAGGTCGCTTTTCTAATAGCTATTACCTCTGCAAGAAGGGTGGGCAAATTGAGGGCCATGATGGCAGACCCCCACCCCCATTCACCACATTCCATAAGGACAAAGTTTCCCTCTGTTTGCATCTCAAGTTTCTGCCAAAAAGCAGTTTCCCATTTTCACCTCAACCAACCCATGTGCTTACCTGCTTTCTTTCCAAAGCCACATACCTCAGAGAAGGAATGGCACCTTCACTCCCTTGATGTCCAAAGGGCCCTGGTCTTTTATCTGCAGAGGATGAAGTTGTTCAGACTTAGATTATTTGTTGCTATAGCAGATAGTCTGACCCTTAATTCTAAGTGTGTTTTGGGGTGCATTATGCTCTGTTATCAGGACTGTCTCCTCTCCTTGGGTAGGAGCCCATTCCACAAGAGCACAAGCATCACCTATGGCTGCGCTTCACAATATGCCACTCATGGACATATGTAGGATGGCCACGTGGAGTTCAGTATACACCTTGCTCTGGCACAAGATTCTGTGATGGATGCCTCATTCGGTGAGGCTATCCTATGTTCCATCATCTTCCTCACACCCTCTTCCTGACTAGGTACTGCTTGTCAATCACCCTCAGTGGAATACAATAGAGACCATCATTCAACAAAGAAGAGGAGGTTACTTACCTGTAACTGGCGGCTCTTTGAGATGTGTGGTCCCTATCTGTATTCCAATCGTGCCCTCCTTCCCATCTGCTGAAGATCTGATTGATTTGCGGTGGAGAAGGAACTGAGGGCATGGTTGGTCCACCTCGCCCTTTATCATCGTGGTTGAAACCATGAGGCGGAACAAGGGTGTATGGGTGGACTACTGGACACTGCTATTTTTAAAAGCTCCGATTCCGGGCGCATGGAGAATGCACATAACCCTCAGTGGAATACAGATAGGGACCACACATCTCAAAGAATCTCCAGTTACAGATAAGTAACCTCCTCTTCTGAAGGCCAGTTCTACTTATAGGTCTGTGAACAATCACAGTTCGCACATGCTCAGTGATACTTCTTAGCTTTTAGCTGCTAAAATCTCCAAAAATTCCATCAGCACAGGGCATGTTTGAGTCTTTCACAGTTCCTTGTGCTGACCAGACTACACATATGCCATGTCCCAGCTTAAAACCACAGGGAAGAAACCAGACTTTCCCTGTAATGGCTGCTTTCAGCTGCTCTGGGTTGGGGCTAGGCATTGGAGCTGAGAACAGGGAGCCTGTCTCCCACCTGGCACCCAGGTAACGTGGAGTAGGAAGCCATCTGATTCAAATGCAGAGGGGACAAAATCCAGACCTGGGGAGAGGGAAAGGAGTAGGTTAGGACAAGGAGCCTAGAGAGACTGAGAGCCAAGGGGGTGAGGAGGTTGAGACTGGTTGGTCAAGGAAACTGTCATTGGGAGACAGAAGGTAGGAAGGGAAGACAGACAAGCAGCAGAGTTGTGGGGGTGGAGTGGGATCTGGGACTGGCTGGGCAAAGAGGCTGGGGCAAGGAGCCAGGGAGGGGGACACAAGCAACTTTAATTCTGGCATTTCCTTACTTTAGAATGCTTGACTTTGCAACCTTTGTGTTCTTTCAACTGTAGTTTACTTATGTGTAAGGTTCTGTGATCAGTGTAAACTTAGCCCAGCACATTGGGTGGGGGGAAAGGAAGAAGGAATCTGTGTTTTCCCCTGTCCCAGGTCAGTGTAATAGCAGAGTTGCTTCATTCATTTCCACAGGGGAAAATGGCATAAGTGCCATCCTCTGGCCCTGCTCCAGTTTATCTTCCCTTTCCTACCCCATCCTAGCCAAACCTATCTACCTTCTGAAGCACGTAGGCTGAAATTTTTGAAATTGGCTAATGAATTGGGATGCCCAATTTGAAACACTGAAAATCATGCCCCCTTTAAGGTAACTCCTGAGCATCTACCTTCTGAAAAACAAACCCCTTTAAAGTGTCTCAAGTTGAGTACTCAAAAATCTGAGGAGCCCAAAATCATTAACTCACTTTGGAAAATTTTGGCCACGGAGTCCCCCACAAACCTGTATTCAGCAGTACAATGGCGTATGTACTTCCTCTTTGGTGTCCTCAGAATCTCTTCCACATAACAGACAATGGCGGTGGCTGCTGCTGTCTATATGTGAAGTTTTGCTGGTATGGTTGACTTCATGCTGTTCTTAAAAAGCCCTGTTAAGTTCTGGGTTGTTGTGTTTTTTTTTTTTTTTTTCCCCTAATTCAGCTAACTGTAATTAATTGAGTGGTTTCTTTATATTCAGGCAAGCCAAAGTAGATGTGAGAACAGCAACTGCTAAAGTTGATGAAATGACCAAATTGTTAGTGGACCTTCAAGCCCAGATGGAGAGAAAGGTATTCTAGCATAACTGAAAGTTTTAGTGATTGTCCTGTTGCAAACATGAAACTTAAATTTACTTAAAATTGTTTGTTTCCATATCGTGCATTTCATTTTTTGTACTCAAGCAGAGTTCAGAAAAAATGTCTGAGTAATTGCTATGATTTCTAGGAAGAAGATGTAGTATCTGCTCAGGAGAGAGAGGAAGCATCAGACAAACGCTTGCAGCAATTGCAGTCTAGCATAAAACAATTGGAGACAAGGTAAAGAGATGAATGATGTCATTGAATGTGATTGATGATATTTTTAGAAGAGGCATGAAAGCAGAGGTTTTCTTCTAAATGTCTGAGTTCTATAATTTTGAGTAATCTAGTTCTCCATTTCTTATGCAGATGATATTTATCCTAGATTACTCATATTTTATCTGCTTCATTTCCCTACCCTCTCAGAGTAGCCTCTGGCTTCCTTCTTCTCACCTGAGTAAAGACTAGAAGACCACAGATCACTTGATCTTACTTATCAGTCTGTGCATAGGTCCCAAGTTTCAGAAATTTTATTTACATCAGCTGGAGTGGTACTGCTAAAGCTCCAAACATCAGTTTGAAAGTATTCCCTTGAATTGGCCACCTTTGGGATGCATACAGCCTTCCTCTATATTAAGACAAGTAAAAGCTGGTTTCAAGTATCAGTTTGGAACTCTTGAGACTAGTAAGGACACTGTAACAGCACACTAAGGCAAACTTCTTTTCGGTGGTAAATGTCAGTGATAAAGATTTATTGAATATCTAATAAAGAGGATATGCTTTCAATTATAGCATTACCTACTAATGTACTTGAGGATGACTAAGGGTTTTCATTACAATATCTCTTCTCTCCCCTGTCCCTCCCCCTTTTATTGCCAAAGAGCTAATTTGGCTGAACAAATTAATTCTGGGCCAAAATTTTGCACTAAATTGTTTTAACCATCAAACGTTTGTCAGATGACTTGATAACTGAAGTTTCTTATTGAAGTATTTATAGCTCTTCTAAGGTGATAGTTTCTAACAGATTCACATTTTTGTTCCTGCTTCATGGGTGTGACTAGCAGAATCACCATAGCTAAAGAATCTAGCAACCAGCCAGTACAAGAGCACTGCCCTACTTGTAACAATAGGGGCTCTTATTGCCTTGAAGTGTTGCAGAAGCTGAAGTGCTTTGCAGTGGCTTTTGAGAACTTTTGCCTGAATTAAGCATGATAGTCTCTTTTTATTTGTTTGAAACTGAACCTGAAGTGATCACCCAGCCATAGTTAATATAATGGGTTTTTTGTGTCCATATATATTTTTCTCTTGTAGATATTCAAAAAATAAATAACTTGGCTGCTTCAAAAACTACTCTAGGTGTAATCATAAAATGTTGATTACAGTCCATTATTACCATCAACTTTAATGCCTGATCTGAGCCCAGCTATGTTCCTGAGTATGCATCAAAGGCTGGCTGTGTCCTGCCTTCCCTCATGCCAACCAATAACGTAAATCATGTTACAGCAATAAGACTATTTAGAGCTAGTATAAAACTACAAGCCCTTTCTCAGTGCTCATGCAATTCCATCTGGGTGCATGTGCGCGTGCATACGCACCAAGACTTGTATCAGCACTGGGAAAACCTGGTCGTTTTATAGTAGCTCTAGCTAGTATTATTGCTTGAATGTGATTGACATTATTGATTGGCATGAGGGAGTGCAGGAAACAAATGGTTATATTTTATGTAAAAATGTATTGCAACATGTACAAATTTTATATGAGAGAGAGAGTGTGTGTGTGTGTGTGTGTGTGTGTGTATATATATATAAAATATATATATGTGTGTGTATGTAATGATACTTATTATCCAGGGAGGAGTAATTGGGACACACACACACACACACACACACACACACACACACACACACACACA